ACTTATATTTATAGGCAAGTGAAGACTTACTATTGGTCATGAGTTAGTATGATTAATTTATTGCTTTAAATATCGAGAAACTTTCCCAAATAGTCATTATAATAAACTTAATTAGGGTTCATAACTATAGCTACAGTTTAAGCAACCTTATTTATATAATTCGCGGGTACATTTGTATAATTTAATTATTTTTGTATAAATTCGAAATAACGAATTTATACAGCTACAAACATCAGAAGTTAAACAGTTATACAAATTCCGAATTATACAAACGTGCGAATTATACAAAACTAAAAGTTGAGCCGCGTAATCATAGCTAAAAGTTGGTCGTGAATTGTAATTAAGTCAAACTATAACTATATTAAGTAATTAACTACTATATATTTGCTTATATGCGTAATTTTTCCTTAAATAATTGTGTGATTACAAAAATTGACCATCAAATTTATATTTTGTAAAATAAAAAGTACTTTCTATATCTATTTTATATTTTGCGAGAATATCAAAAGAGCTATAAATATTCATAAAATATGATATGATGATATAGTTATTAATGATATTGACACATTCAATTTTATTAAATAGTAATACACCACAACTTAAGTTTAATTTTACTTTTTTGTAATTAGCTAATATTTGATCAATAAATATATATTTTTTAGTATAGTTTTGTAATAGTGTATTATTCTTTTGTTTTATAAAATTTTAGTTATTTGGCAAGATTATAAAAAATTGAAATAATTTTAATAATTTCACAACTTGTGAATTTTATATTCATGAGCAGAAAATACAACCTAAAAATTCAAATAGTATTCCGACGTGATCAAAGAGTGTGTACATGACATCACGACTGGTGAACCCTTCGGAAAAAGGAGAACGGGGAAGACACGGTAATTTGGTGGATCTATTTGATTCTTTGTCCTGTTTTTTTTTCTTATATGTATCTGAAGAAATTTATATATAATCAAATCAGATATTAAAAAATTGATGTTAGGGATCAGAGTGGGATAACTGTGAGGGTCAAAAGGATACGATATTTTTTTTCCTACTTTCGTTAGAAAAAGACATTTTATAATTTTAAAAAATTTTATTGTAAAAAATATTCAAACAAGTGAAAATTTTAAAAATACTTTACTGCATACCAAATACCTCCTCCTTTGACCTTGTCTGTTTAATTTTTCATGTTTGGTTGGTCAAACATTTGTTGACACGTTTTGTTTATGAAAATCAATTCATTAAAAATGAGAAAATATATAATTACTTTCTTAATGAAAATAGTGAGGAAAAACAAATTATATAAATAACACTTAATATCAATTGTATTTTTTCCAACCTTCCATATCGTCATCCCACACTCACCTCCATAATATTTATATTTATAGAATAATATTTTTTGGTTATGTTAAAAAAAAATCTGTTCACTTATCATAAACAATAGTTATCGACTTTTTCCATGAATCTCTATTTGTTTGTACCGACCACAGTTTGTGTTTATTCTTTTGTCCAAACATTATTTTAGTCTAATCTTCTAGGATTTCGAATAAGCACATGGTTGACGAACTCTCGTTACCAACAATTTCTTTATTGATTAAGAAGAATAAATAGGATTTAAAACTAGTTTGTTAGAATTAATTGCAATTTACATCCGATTATAAATTGTTAGTTTGTCACATCTTAAACTTGTAGATCTAAATTACTAATTCATGTATTATTAATCACTGTATTATTAATCCTTACGTTAAAGTGATATATAAAAGCTAAGACTAAATTATAAATTGTTAGTACTATTTGTTTATATATATCGAGAGCTTGTAGGCCTACTACTTTTACTTTTTTTTTTTCTTTTCCTTTAAAAAAGGGTGGGATAGTCATTATGAGATATTAGAACCCTGCACCCAAGTAATACAAGATTGAGTAATTGCAACCCATGACTCTAATTGAGTCTTGTAGACTGTATATTTTAGATGTTTAATTTGATAATATTCAACAAACTTTTAAAGTATGATATATAATAGGACATGATCAACTGTTATCCAACCAAGTATTGAATACAACTATACAAGCAATATATACGTGGTTAGTCAATATATATACTTAAAATAGACATTTGAATTTCAACATGCATGCATATGTATGCATTCTTTGAAATCTCAGGCCAGAGATATACATAGAGTGTGTCAATATTCAATGCTTAAATTATAATGATGCCATATATGAAACTAACATTGAACGATAAGGAAAGGGGTGAAAGTGAAAGAAGAACAGGTAAAAGTCAAGAGTCAAGACAATATTATTAGAATAATCTCATCAGTAACATGTGAACGTGATATGTTATTATTGACAATTCAATTATTTTAGAGCATAAATATACGTACATCCTCTGAACTTGAAATTTTAGGTCAGGTTTCATTATTTATATGTGGTAGCAGGTAGGGTTGTATATGGACTGAGGTGGTTCAAATATTTTAAATATTAAATTATTTATTTGTATTGGGGTTTTAAATCTATAAATTAAATTGTGGGTTTTCTAATCTCTGTTTTTTGGAGTTTTTTCAGAAAGTCTTAATAGAAACATATAATTAACGGGTGCTTTAAATATATATTTTCTTTAATGCTAATCAAGACAAAGTTATCTAGACAAAGTTATCTGAGGTGTTTTTTAAAAAGGAAAATCACATAAAATAAATAGTACTAAGTCTTAATTGTGGGTTTTCTAATCTCTGTTTTTTGGAGTTTTTTCAAAAAGTCTTAATAGAAACATATAATTAATGGGTGCTTTAAATATATATTTTCTTTAATGCTAATCAAGACAAAGTTATCTAGACAAAGTTATCTGAGGTGTTTTTATAAAAAGAAAATCACATAAAATAAATAGTACTAAGTCTTGTTAAAATAAGTCTAATAAGTATTAATTACATGTCTAAACATTAAAGAAAAATAAAATTAGGGTCATGTATTTTAATTGTCTAAAATAATGTAAGATTAAGGGACAAATTTCCAAAGAGCTTGTCATTTTTAGCGTTGAATTGATTATTTTTTTTGTTAACATTAGTATTGATTTGATTTTAATTTGAGCTTTATTAATATCTATAGGCTAAATATAACCTTTATTGGAGGTTTAAAAATTGTAAAATAATGTTGCGATGGTTTGATTTGACTTTTTTAGTTGAAATCAAATCAATTATGATATAATATTTTTTCCAATATCAAATCAAACTTTTTTCCGACTTCACTCAAATTATCGATTTGATATGATTTGTTGATTTTCATCGTACACCCTTAAATATGTTGTTTCGTCAAGTCATTAGGTTGTACGATATGATAGATCTCTCTGAAAGCTATTTCTGATGACTTTGCGACAAATCTTGTCTAAGAGTCGCAACGAGTCTTTAAACAATTTTCTTAAAACCAAAAATTCATTCAATTTGGTCAAAGTATCAATCAAGTTGTAACAATGTTTCCTCCTAATGACTTATTGTGACACTTATTGGTTAAAAAAAATAAAATTAACTTTGGTAATACTTAATTAAAGTTAACTAATTTAATATCTTTGATTTGGAATAAAGTGAAAACTATTAGTCACCTTTCTCAAAATCAACGTTTTGCTTTTTTCGTATTTGTGGTCGTTTGTGTGAAGTTGAAACAACAATTGAGAAAGCAAACAACGTGATTCTTTTGCTTTTTTAGAGTAAACCGAAATATCAAAATTAAGGTGCACAGTTGCTTTCTTATAATTACACTTTTGAAATTTTCTCTTTTTCCCCTTTATTATAGGTATTGAGTCAAAATAATATCATGTTTTTTTGGTGTTTTGCCTTTAAATATAAGGAAGATCAGATCCTCATGTTTTAATGTACGTAAACGGTGGAAGAATTAAGGACACGTAAAAGAGAAAAATTACTTATGTCCATGTTGGTCGGCAGTTATAAACCTTACAACCAGGGACACGTAGCGGACATTATTCGTCATAAAACTACGTCATATATATACTATATATATATATATAGGTTAAATTCTATATTTAAAAGATATATATTTAAAGTTTGACACTCTTGATAAAAGTTATGTTTTGGCTCTACGGTAATGGATGTCCACTTAAAAGAAGGAATTCTGCGGGTGTCTTTAATTTTTTTATCATGTTAAGAACATATTTGTGCGGAGAATAGAGCCAGAATATTTTCATTTTTCTCTAGTTCCCCCTCCCCGTCTTCCTTATTTGTGGTTGAAATTGAGTGGGTAATGTTCAATTAAGTTTATATTATCTATCCTTAATCATGATTTGTATTGGTTTAGTTTGTAAAAAATGAAGAATACCATTTACCATTGTTAATTTTGTTGAGCTTAAAAGAATTGTTGAAAAAGACAAAGTGGATAAATTGATTTTTGAATAGTTAGATTGAATACAACAATTGATAATTGTTAGAATTGGTATTAGAAGATTGTACATCAAATTTAGATTCATGTGAAATTCAATCAATTCTGAAATAAAAATATATTGTTAAAATAATTTTATTTTAACACAAGTTATAATAAAAATATGTTGTTAAAATAATTTTAGTTTAACACAAGTTATAATGTTCATCCGGGATTTTATAGTCATTTCTGTTGATTTATAAAAATTTATGACGAGATAAGTCTTGCCATCAATTTGAAATTCACCAGAATTTGTAGTCAAAATTCTGGCAATTTATCAAGATTTAGCAAGAAATTTTAGCAATTATTGAATGTTGTAACAAAACATTTTTTTCCCTAAATTTCAAATCTTGGTGATTCACCGGGATTTTTGTACCCATAAATCTCTGTTTGCATGATTTTTTCTTGGTGGAGTTAAAACTATTTGGGAAACTTTCAAAAACAACAAACATTACGCCTTAAATAGGACTTCATAGTTTTTTTTTTGGTAACCAATGTAAACTATTACCATAACCATCCAAGAACAATTACAAATAAAGAGTACCCTCTCCTGATAACAGGTTCAGGTCTCCAACCAAACAAGGAAACTAATTACAAAATAAATGCTGAATGAAACCTCTACATCTTTGAACTTTCTTTGAATTACTCAAGAATTGTATTCTTTCTGTTATCTCCTTCTTAATCTGTATGACTGCATCTTTTGTATTTACATTCTTTCCTTTGTACTTCTTCCAATTTCTAGCACGCCAAGTGTAATATAGGACTGCTCCACTAATTGCCGCAATAGTCTCCATTTTAAACTGCTTCCAATGTTTCTCCTTTATTCCATCCAGAAACTGTTTAATCCCATTGTTTATCAAATATATACCTGTCCACTGAACTATCTCTTGCCATACCATCTTAGACCATTTACATTCTTCAAACAAATGCCTTGTGGTCTCCATAACTTTCTCTTCACATAGACAACATTCAGTGTCATCAACCTGAATGTGCAGTCTCAACTTTCTCTCTTGTGTAAGCAATCGACCTTGTATAGCTAGCCACACCATGAATCTGTGTTTTGGTAGAGCCACAACAGTCCACACTAAATCAGCAGTTTCCAATTGTTGTCTTTACCCTTTAATTGCCAAATAACTCTGTGTGATGGAATATGTACCATTTTTTGTCAACATGTATCTTCCCTGGTAGGACTTCATAGTTACAGTTTCACTAATTACAATTCGTAGCTATATTTTGGTTTGCTACACATTTGTATTTCTTTGCGGATTTTAGAGAAAAAATACAAATACAAACTGATTTGTATCAAAATGAATACATATTAAGAGGGGAAAGGCAAACGAGATTGAGAGAGGAAAGAGAAAAGATTGTATTTTGTATTTATTTTATGCATAATTGTTTTGTATTCTGTATCAATTGTATTCGAAATACAACAAATACAACTGTATTCATCCTCTCTTTGATTGGATACAATCGATACATAATACATAGAGGATGAATGCATATTGTATTTGTATTAATACAAATACAATTGATACACAACTATAAATACAGTTTTTCGAATACAATTGGTATAAAATATTACAAAACCCTCACGTATATTTGATTAAATACAATTGATATACAAATGAATTTCTTCTTACTGGCAAGAAAGAGAGGGTGAGGGTGAGGGAGAGGGAGGAGAGGCAAGGGAGAGAGTTTGCTATAATAACAACTTGTAATTTTTTTAAACTATACATGTTTTCCATAAATATATTGACATTTTTGCCATATTCCATAATTTTCCCAAGGCACATCCTATTAATGCAAAACATATTGGCTGGCCCATAGCGAAAGCCTAATTCTAATGGATACTAGCCCAATTTGCATTGTTGGAACAACAGACTAATACTAGCTTGTTCAATTTTTATTAGTGAAAATTTATAATTGACATATATATGATTAATAATTTCAAGTTATGACAGTATAATAATTCTTTCAAATTATAAATAATTTTTTTTTGCAGGTTCTAACAATTTATTAAAAGAAAAAAATGTTTAAAACAACAATAGAAATTAATTTGTTTGAAAAAAAAGAAGGTAAAAAATGGATAAAGTAGTGGTAATTAATTTGAATTGATTAATGATAATTAATATGTGCATAAAATTAGGAGATTGAATAAAAAAAGGAATATTTGTTTTTCATTTTCAACTCCAATCAGTTAAGTTTAGTTCAAAAACAGATTTTTTTTGCTTTTATTCAAATGTTCCTCTCTCTTGTCGATTATTTTTGGATTTTTCTTCACTCACAACTAGTTTCATTTCGTTTTTATCCAATAATCTTCATTTTTTTCTTGTAATGAACGGCTTCTTATCAATATTAATAAATCATGGTGGTAGATGTGATATCCTTCAGGTTAGTGATCTTTGCGATTTTTTATTTGTATTGTTTTACTACTCAAATATAAAAAAAAATACAAAAAATTAAGAACGATGATGCTAAAAAAATAAATTTTCAGATTTTGTTTGTGTATAACAGAATTTGATTATGACTTTTTTGTATGAACATTTTTGTTTGGGATTACATAATATAAGTTTGATTTTGGTATGAACTTTTTTTTTTAATTTAAGATTTCTGGTAAAAAAAATTACATAAAATTTATCTCTAATTGATATAATGTTTACACCATGTTTAATAGAATTTGATTATGTCAGATTTTTTGTTGTGTATAATAATTTAATTATGGCGTTTTTAAAAAAATGTATAATGTTATATTTTGGTATGAACATTGAATTTTTTCGTTATTTGTCTTTGGAATTTGTCTACTACTAATACCATACATGTATGACTGTATACTACTAATTTGTGAATGAATACTGATTACAAATGTTTATAACTAAATTTGTTCATTCTTTGTATGAACCATTATTGATTTTTTGGTATGAATACGGTTTAAAATTTGACGTAAATTTTGTATGAAATTGATATAATAGTAAAATCAAACTTGTATGGAAATTTATGGAGTAGTTTTTATGGCACAAAAATGGTATGATTTAATTTATTTTTGGCATTATATTGGTATGAAATTGTGCATAATAGTGGGATGAAATTGATATACTATTTATTTAATAAAAGACAATTACTAGTTATAAATTTTATGATTTTGTATTCTTTTTGGCATGAATCTTGTATGAATCAGTGTTTACTTTTGGTATGAAATAGGTATAGAAAGTATGCATAAAATGGTATGAAATTCGTATACTGATATAACATATGTATAAAAGTTATTTGTACTTTTGTATCCTGTAATTTCAACACAATAATTTATGATGGGACATGAAAATATGCAATTCAAAAAGTTTCGGAGCATAAATTATTGTCGTCTGGTTCAAAAAGATTGTAGGGAGATCACAACTTGAACGCTGGAAAGGGTTTGCAGGTCTAAGGTTACGTACAATACATGTCGTCGAGAGGGACACAACAAAAAGACATGATTTATTTTTATTTTTATTTGATTGTTTCACTGTGACAAACTCGTGTTTTGATTTACTTTGTCTTTTAAGTTAATGACTTATATATCAGGACACTTATTATGTGTACTAATTAATTATTTATGTATTCGATGTTTTTTAAATGTATAGTAAAAAAATAGGTAATGTCGGTATGCAATTGATCGGCTGAAAAAATGAAGTCAAATCTTAGTATGAAATTGGTATACATTTGGTACCAAACTGATGTCCCAGTGATAAAATTGAAAAAAACAACATGTAATTGAGATTCAATCGAAATAATCAACCTAAAACTAGTTAATATTGTATTAAATTTGTATACATTTGGTATGAACTGATATCCCATTGGAAAATTTGAAAAAACAATATGTAATTGAGATTTCAACTAAATTAGTCAGCCTAAAACTAGTTAATTTTGTACCCAATTGATATACATTTGGTATCAAACTGTTATCCCATTGGAAAAATTAAAAAAAACATGTAATTGAGATTTCAACTGAATTAGGCTGCCTAAAACAAGTTAATTTTGTATCCAATTGGTATACATTTGATATCCAACTAATATCCCATTGGAAAAAAATGAAAAATCAACATGTAATTGATATTTAAATCAAATTAGACAATCTAAAATAAGTTAATCTTGTATCCAATTTTTATACACTTGATATCCAACTTGAAATTTTAGAACAAAGACTAAAATTAAAAATATATGAAATTGATATCCAACTGGTATAAATCTGGGAAGAATAAATCTGACGATGTAAAACAATGCATATTATATATTGTTGTAAAAAACTGTAGCAAAAGAAAGATACATCATCCAAAATCAAAACATGTAATAATTAAAAGTCTAAACTAAAATAAAATATTTCAAAGTTCATTTCTTTGGCCTTGGTGTAGGATAATTGATAGTATCTTAAACATGTTTTTTTGTTATGCGGGGTCCACCAAATTTGCTAGCAACCATTCCAGTTACTTCACTCTCACTAATTATGCCATCAACGTTCTTGCTTCTTTCATACTGCCACATGATTGTGGCGTACCTTTTACGGTGATACTTTGCATCAATGTGCATTAGACCCATATCAAAAACTCCATTGCTAATATATTTAGCAAGGAAACATGCGTACAATCCATAATTGCTGAAAAAACATTAAAGAAAAAAATTGAAAAGGAAAGTGAATTACTTATTATGAACAAAACACAATAAGATAGGAATACATACTTTGAGCTTGGATCTTGTTGAGGCACATTCTTTATAAATACAACTTTAAGCTTGGATATAGGCTTGTCAACATATGCAGGTAGTTTATTGAAATATAGGTCCTGCCTTTTACCATAAAATCATGTGCTAGCTAAAAACAATGGTATAATTATGGCAAGTTTATCAACTGCTTTCTCCACATTCCTTGTGTGTAGATCTCCTCCCATCATTGAATCATATATATGTGGAAGAGTTCTGCTGATTTTTTATTTTTTTTGAATGAAAAAGACGAACGGAAGATAGTGAGAGAGAAAAAGTTAGTTCTCTGTACAAGAGGAACGTGGGGGTGGGGGTGTGAGGTTTGCGTGAGGGTAAAAGCAGAAGGTGGGGGTGTGGGTGGGAAGTAGCCATGTGAAAACTGAAAAAAAAATTCCTAAAATGGTGTAAGAGATAATAACAATTGATTCTCCAATAACATTAATATCCCTAAAATTGTGTAAGAGATAATGCTGATTGATTCTCTAATATTATTGTATTTCTCTTACTTATTAATTATAATGTAATTATAAAAATAATAGCTAATTAATAAATAAAATAAAATAAATTATAGATTAAAAATAATCTGTTAATACTTCTAATTAAAATGTTATAAGTAGTAATATAAAAAAAGTACATCTAAAAATTGTAATATTAAGCCTTAAATAGATATGTGGGGTGGTTTTTCCTTTTTATTAATGTAAATTTTCTCTTAGCATGTAATCCAATTATTATTATTTTTGTCTTTGGAGCCAAAAAAATAGTGCTTTTCTTGGAATAATTTTTTTTCCTTTAGCACAAAGATTCTAATACTAGGATTCCTTATGTTTGGCACAAGATTCATACATGACACTTAATTCCAATTCCTCTGTTGTAAGTATAATAACTTTTAAGGATTCAAATTCAATCAGAAGAATCAAGTTGAAATACATTGCAATAACTAATGATCACTCTCAACATATACCTTGGATTCTTTTAATTATATACTATGATATGAAACAACATTAACGTACATATTAAATTCTTCACAATTAGAGGAAATAAACTCTTCAACAATGTACATCAATAAAATTAACTAGTACCTTCAGAAATCAGAATTATTAAAATTTCCATTAATCAATTTCCGCATTACATATCTCAAAGAGTTCACATCAATAATCGGTTGTTCGAGAGGATACTGAACATCCACCTTGTAGGTGAGGATTCGATTCCCCACATTATTATCTCCTTCCCATTTTCCCTTCCTTGCCCCATTTTTTTTTTAATTACTTAATAATAGGCTGTTCAGTTTTCAATTTAGTATTTCATGAAGAGTCCTATTCACAAATGCCACCTTTTTGTAATTACTGAAAAAAATATTTTAGTTGCCATCCAATCCCGGGGCCCAGTCATTACCGTGCGTTATGGACAAAAAGAACCAAAATTTTAGCATATAGTTGGCCTAAAGCTAATCCTATTTTCGATATGTTTTGATAAAATGTCACATATCTATATAATATAAGAAGCTAAGTATTTCATTGTCTTTAATGATGACAAACGACAATTAGATTCACATTTTATGTGGAAAGAGAATAGGAAAGAACATGTACATAGATTATAGTAGAGCCAAATTTAGAAATTTGAATTTATGATTTCGGATAGAAAAAACAACTTATTTGATTTCTGAATAATTTATTTATACGTATTAAGCGGATATCTTTAACATAAAATAATATATATTATTTTGACTAAAACTCTAGTAGGGAAGTTTGGTATTTTATAGACAGCTTATGTGCCAAAAATCTTATTTTATTTTGGAAACTAAATTAAACATCACGAGATAAAATTAGAAGAAGAGAGTAACAACTAACAACAAAAATTTCATTGAATTCCGAAGAAACCACATTAATGATGGCAAAAAAAAAACAAAGAACCATAGCAATGAACTTCACTAATAAAACTAGACGACACATACATAGGGGGGGGGGGAAAATAACATGATAGAAACTAATAGACCTAGCTAGCATAGCTTAATAATCCTACTCCAACATGAATGCCCATAATAAAGCACATGCTAATACGAGCCTACATCACATCATTTTCAACGCTATGAGCGAACCACATTCTCGATTTTTCCATCAAATCAGGGCTCAACCTTACCATTAGCACACAAAACTCCTTCTCATTCAAGCAATCATCTCCATTCAAATCCCCTTCCCTCAACATGCACATTAGTTCATCATCACTCATTCCTTCCAACCCTAACAACGCCGAATTCCTCTTCAAGCTCTCAAACGTGATCACTTCCCTCTCCTTATCCATCAATGCCCGGAACCCGTTCTTTAGCTCATTCAAGAACCCTTCCGACCCTAGTTTCTCCACCATAGACGGAAAGAAATCCTCAAACACAAAGTCACGTCCCAATGCAGCCATGCCTTAAATTAATTAACGTACACGATGAATTTTTGAAAATAGAGATTGTTGTTTTGTTAGTACAAAGGATGAGTTGATGAATAATAGATGACTCAACATTGGATATATATAAGAAGAGGAAAAAAATGAGGAAATTTATGAGGAAGGAACATAATGAGGATAAAAATAGTCATTTCATAAGACAAGTTTCGTGGAAGTTGCATGGGAAAGTACCCAATAAATAATCTATTCATATGATGATGATGAAGTACAACACTTTTCAGATTTGTAAGGGCAATTTCCTATGACTGTCCCAACAGACAAAATAATACTCATGTAACGTTAATTCACTACTCCATTTGGTATGTAGTTAATTCACCTTCACCATATATATTCGTCCCCTATATATATCTTACTAACGATTTCCTTTTCAAATTAATTTGCTTTTTTGGATGGATAGAGCTGTGGTGACCACAATCATTATTCTAATGTTTAAACATCAAATCTTTATTGGACAAATTGTTATCATTAGAATTTTTAGCTTTTTTTCCCGGAAAGTTATTTCACTTTACTACAAAAAAATATAACGTTTGGTCATGAAAATTTTATATATAACTTGAAATAGTATTTGAAATTTGAAAAACATGAACCACCCAAAACCTTGTTTTTACTTTTACTATATTTTTCTTTTTAATAAATTATTACCCTAAATTTTTTATTTTTATAACAATAATCTCATTTAAATTATTTTTTAAATCAAGTGACCTTACGAGATCCCTAATTTAATTGTTAATACTTTTTAAAGAGTAAAATTTAGGAATAGCAAAGATAAAAATCATATTAGCGTTTTATAGTTACAGTTTTGCTATTTACGCTCCATAACCAAATTATGTTTGCTATGGAACATCTGATTTGTATAAATCGGGTGCTAATTCATCTGTGTCTATGAAAATTGTGTTTGTATATATATCTATATGTTCTTTGTGTTAGGCTAGAGTGGTGAGCGAGTTTGGGTGAGAGATGAGAGAAGCAAGCGAGAGAGGGCAGATAGTAGAGAAAGGTGAATTGTATATGTATATCAGTTATATAATTGTATATATGTAACTATTATGTATATGTATCAATGATTGTGTTTGTATATCTGTATAAAATTTAAATTCGTATACAATTGAATCGAGTTAAAACATTTGTATATCAAATCTCTCTCACTATACACAAAGACAAATTATACAAATTGTATAATTTGTGTTTGTATAAAGCGAGAGAGAGAAAGGCAAAAAAGAACTGGGTAAGGAAAGATTTACATTTGTATAATTATAAGTGCATAAGACAGAGATATATATATATTTGTATTTGTATATACAATCTCTTTCGCTTTATACAAACACAACCATAAATTATACATTTGTGTTTGTATAAAGTGAAATATAGACTGAAAAAGAGGAGAGTGGCAAGCAAGATTCCAGAGAGAGGAAAGAGAAGCGAATGACAAAAAGTTTATTGCGAATTGGAATTAAATAAAACTATAGCTATAACATTTATTTTAAATTAATAATTTGTTATAATGCACAAATTTTCTTTTTCGGCAGCCCGTGTAATGATGAGTTGGACTTGATATTTTTTGGCCTACAAAAATATGATGTCAGTCAGACTTGTCAAATTTCAAATCCCTGTAGGCTCAACTTGGATGTATTGGATTGATCTTTATAGAGTATAATTTTATTGGGGAAAGACATAGATTTCTTCCTGAATTTATTTCGAAAAGTAAGTTAAACACTTAAATTATTATGAAGATCTATTACATATTTTTACTATTTAAAAGTGAATTTATTTACCCCTGAGATGTGTAATACCACTCTCACAATATGTGATGTATTACACTTGCTGTCACATCAATACCATGTCAACACCATGTCAGACATTAAAAAAGAAATATTCTTTTTTATTTTTAATTAACTTTTCTTTTGTTAATTATATTTTACACTAATTAATTATTAAAATTCTCTAATAATTATATTTCTTTATAGCAAAATTATAATAAGATGAAAATTTTAACAATGGCCGCCAATAACACTAATCGAAACATGGAGCTGATTTATGGAGTGAAAAATTCTTCCGTTTCTCTTAAAAAAGCCCGTCATAGCTGCAACGGCTAAGAAATCCCCAAAATTTTATCCCGCCCATGACATTAAGATATCTTTTGTTGACAATCCCACAAAACTTAGATTGATGATAAGTAATTTGCTAAGCAAGCTGAGAAGAAGTCGAAGAAGGATAGATTTTTGGTTAAAAGAAATAGGAGAAAAATGTGCTTCATCAAGAGGGTGGAATTGAAGAAGAAGAAGAGGGTGGGTTGTGAAGAAGAAGAGATGGGAAGAGTGGGGTGTGGGTCTAATTGAATTTTGATTTTTTTCTACTTTAATAAATCTGACGCGCCTATTTTTATTATTTTAAAAATTATTTTGCCACATCAATTTTAGGGGATAAATAAATTCACTTTTAAGTAGTAAAGGTAGATCGTCATAATAGTCTAAGCGTGTAACTGACTTTTCGAAACAAGTTTAAGGGCAAATCTACGCCTTTTCCCTAATTTTATTACCTAAACAAAATTTTATTTAGATAAAAATATATCTATCTGAATCACAAAATAAACTCCAAAGTTTCACGGTAGTTCAAAACATCATAAAAGTTCAAGAGAAGCTACTGGATTTTGAACATTTCAAACTCCAAAAAATTCTAGTAACTTTTTGTATTTTAGCTGTGAGTACTTTTGTCCAAATTTATTTACACCTTAAGAATTTTTATTTTTTTTCAATTATTATTTTAAACAACGAGAAAAATTTGAATTCAAATTGAGGGTTGATTTTTGTTCATTAAAAATGTTAAGGGGTATTGTTTTCCAAACCCAAATTTTTAATGGTGTGGAGTGAGTTTTTTTTTATGATAAATTTGATTAAGTGATTTATAAGAGAAAAATCTAAGTTAAGTTTCCTTACTTTTACAAAAGGCAGAATGGTCTGGTGGACTCTTGTACTTGTATATGATTGTATTATGGACCTTTCTACTTATCCATTTGTCATTTGGACCCTTGAACCCATCCAAACCCAACATTTTAAACACTTTTTTGGTTGTGGTATGGTGCGTGTTGCACAAACACGTACACGTTGGCCAAAAAGAAAAAAAAATTAATCCACGTATGATATTATATTCCACGTAGCAAATGACTCTCGTTAAATTAAAAATAGTCCAACCCCGGCGAAATTTTTCAAACCTTCGCGACTTTTCCACTTCTCCTCTCCGCGATTTCTCCACTAACAACATGTTCATCTGTGATTTTCCAAACCTTTGCTCTGTTGAAGCTCAGTTTCACTCGGATTTTCGTTGTAAGTTCTTGCCTTTTGCGTTAGTTCTGATTTTTTTCATTTTCTCATGAGTATCTGTTTGATTTTAGGGTCGATTGTCATTCGATTTTCTGAATTTTTTTGGGGATTTTACTTTGGTTTGGGTGTAATGTTCGTGTAATATGTTTTCTTAGTTGATGTACGACTTCAAGTGACTTCAATGGCATATTTCGTGAATTCGAGTAGATTCTAGGATTTATTCGTAAAATCCCAATTTCGACTAAAATTAATATTTTATTTTTGGTCAATTGTCTTGTATATTGATAGTGTTAGTGGTCCACTGTTACAACAATTCATTATTTCCTTCAAAAATTAGGGTTTTTTGTGTTATAGTCATGGTAAGTTTATGGTTTAACTGTAGTTATATTTTTTTTACTTTACAGGCATCGTAAGGTAATGGCTTTAACTATAGTGACACTTCAATTTCACTATGGAGGATGTTTTGTATCTGTTCCTACTTTAAGGTATGCCAAAGGAATCACTAGTGTTGAAAAGATTAATATAGATGTCGATGAGTTGCATATTATGTTGTTTCATAAAATAGCACTGGAATTAGGTGTTGAAAATGTTGAGACATTTGGATGTAGAATCAACAAGAAAGGGTACTTTTTGCATGTTAAATATTGATTCTGATGTTTTAAACTTTCTTAATAGTTTGAAGGGTGCCGATTTTGTTGTGTATATGTTGTACATCCCATTAGTATACCTTTAGTTGTTGAGGAGATACTTGTATTGCCTAGCACTAATGATGATGTGTCCTCATCTCCACAACAAGATAATGCTGATGTGTCCTCCTCCCCACACAAAAATAGGGCTGATCTGTCATCCTCTCCACAAATAGATAGGGCTGATGTGTGTTCATCTCAACCATTTGATGAAACTGAAAATAGGGATGTAAACCAAAATCAGTCTCATTTAGTTGAAGAACAGTCTCCTTTAGTTGAAGAACAAGCCCCTGTCCCTAGAGTTGAAGAACATTCTGATTCTGATTCACTCTATGATGTTGATGAAAATATTGATGATTTGAGTGATTTGGATGAGGAGTTGCTTCAAGCTAGGCAGTCTAATTCAATAACAAGTTAAAGAGAAAACTGATAGAATAAATCTAGATGAGATACCATCTGGTCTTGTAAGTATAGATGCTAGTTTTGAATACATTTATAAGGAGATGAAGGGGAGATTTGAAGGCAATTTGGATGGTGATGACCCTTATTTTGATAGCTCAAATCCTGGTAGTGACATTAGTAAAGATGGAGGGGATCTTGTTGAGAATGATGAAGTGGTAGATCCAGCACCTAGGAAGGAAAGTACAAAGATCTATTTTGATCCAACTGCTAAAAAGGTTTTACTTCAACTGTATATGGTTTTTGAATCACATTGAGTTCAGAGAGGCACTGCAAACTTACTCTATTTAGAAGAGTGTTAATATTAAGTTGAAACTTAATGAGAAGGAAATGATAAGGGCAAAGTGTAATAAAAAAGGTTGTCCTTGGCATATTCTTGGAAGTATTGATGGTAACACTGAAAACTTCAGTGTTAAAACACATTTTCCTGTCCATAAGTGTTTTAAAAGAACAAGAAACAAACTGTGTACCCCCATTTGGATTAGTAAACATTATAAGGAGAGGATTATGAGTGAGCCTACCATCAAACTACA